GGTTCCCAGGCGTTGAGCGACTGTGACAGCGCGGGACCGCTCAACAGCGGTGTCGTGGTGTGGGAAAAGCGGCTGGAAGGGCTCCTGGAACCGGCTGGTTGTGTTGCGGTCTCTCCGCGAGACCTACAGCCTTATTTCTGGGTAGAAACACGCAGACCTCTTGGGACCCCTGTGCAGCAAGAACTGCTCGCTAGGCAGCACTAGCTAATTATCTTTTGGTCGTTTAAGCTTATTGCTTGGCAACGTTTTATAGAAAACGTTGCAGTTAACCTTTCCTTATCTTGTGCTCTTTTAACATTAAATTTTTGAGAAATGTATTGCTGAAGGTGTTTATTTGTAGTTCATGCACGCTCCAGGCTGCGGTGAGGTTTGAACAAGATTAGCAGAGTAAACGTTGAAATCCTTGGATGAAAGGGACAAATCGTTTCTTTCCTCGCTTCATATCTGCAGTTACCCCACAGGGTGCAGTAGACCTAGAGTTGGGTCTGTTTTGGAGAAAGGACGAATGAGGAAAGCAGAACAAATCTGTGGAAATCGAGGTCCTGCTGCCTGCAGAACAACCCGTTCGTGGTCCCCGTCTCTTCCAGTTACCTCCCACGGCTCTTGTTGCCCAAGCAGATGTGCAGGGTGCAGACACCAGCAAAGCAAACTCAACTCATCTGTTTGGAGCAGCCGTTCTAGAGGAACGGAGGGAAGAGAAGGGATTTGCAGCAAATGGTGCTTGTAAGACACTTACCTATATTTTAAGTATTCTTCTGTTTTTACTTCTAAGTGTTCTTCTATTTCCTCACTCTTCTATGTTGCCTTAAGAGTACAGTGTGTGGGTATCACAGACTGTCGTGAGTTGCTTCTAATATGAGCGACTTTTTGGGGTGAGAATTGCATGGCAGAAAGGCTGTTCTTGCAGGAAGAACAGACTTCATTGCATGATTCATTGTGTGGTTTTCCAGGAAGATAAAAAAACTGTTTTTTCAAAGAGATGGTTACGGAAGAGATGGCTTTTATCTAGTTAGATTGCTGGCAGCTATCTTGTGACTAGGCCGTATACATCAGCCTGGTTTATTTTAGTAAATGCCTAATGGTGAGTGTTGAAATGCTTGAGAGACGGAAAAATGAACTTCACATTTTGAAGTGATTTTTTCGAACTATTATAGCAAGAGTTTTCACTTGCAGAGCTGAAGCTTTGCAGATTTAAAAATAGCGAGAAAAAAAAAACTTAAGACGGCAGTTCCTGTTTACACACTACAGTAGAGCTCTTCTGCTCTGCTCTTGGTGGCAGAGCTTAGGACACCAGTCCTTGACACCCCTTATTGTTCTGTGGTTAACAAAGGAACGAGAGCAGGAATGAAGAGAAAAGAAATTTTAAGACCATCATTTTGTACAGCAGAATAAGGAAGAACATGCAGGTGTCGTCGTCTCTTGTAAAACATGCCAAGAAGCTCCTTTCATTTAAAGTTTAGATTATTTAATCAAAGAAAACTCTTATCAAGTAAGCAGTTAAGGTACCACTTTTGCATGGAAAAGCAGCAGCAGAGCCAGAGGCTGTTCTCTGTCTATCTAAGAAGTTCTTTCAAGAATAAAATTCCCGGAAGATAGCATAATGTTTATTTTTTCTGTCCTTTAGTTACCAGTGAGAAAATGACACAGTATAAGGGACCTATTTTTATATGCATATGGTATATGCATATGCATTTTGCATATGATATGCAAATACTTTGGCTTTTGAGAGATTTTCTTCACCTTTTTTATTTTCGCTTTTAAATGGAAATCCAAAATTGTAGTCTTTGTGCAAATACACATTTGACTACTTCTGGTAACAACTGTAGTGAAAAGGAAATGTTTTCTTCAATGTCTCTGTACCAGTAGCTCTTTTGAGGAACCAGTTGACAAATTAGAATTTTAATTGAAGAAAACCTAGGAAAAAGACACATAGATCAGTTCATGTAGGTTGTTGTAAAACTTCTGTTCTTCAATAGCTCCATGTCGTATTTTCCACTCTGTTCATACATAAAATATCAAGTAGACATTTCTAATCCAATTTTTCTTTTAAGACAGCTTTGTCTGCAGTGTAAAAAAGTTTTAATCAATTTATAAAAGCTTTTTTAATCCTTTAGCTATTTTTACCCTAATTAACATCTTAGGTTATTAAAACCGAAAATCTATATGGAAAAAAAATCTTAGTTATATTTGAATCTTTTGCCTTTCGTTTAGCTTCCATGCTTAAAATAAGTGTAAAGTTATTTTTGAGTTCTGCTTTTAATCCCTTGTTTTTTATTCCTAAGTCACTTTCTGAGTGTCAAATGAATCTAAATTAAATTCAGTGTTTCAGTGCAAGCAAGCATGTTCAAAATATGTTTTATATTTCAATATTTTAATAATTTTAACGTGCTGGTACAAGTAGGGAACCTAAATTATGTGACAATTTTCCATAGTCCAAAAGCTGTGTAATTTTTATTTACATAAATTTTTGTGTCATACTTCCAGAAGGAAGACTGTTGATCCCAAATTTGGAGAAAAATAATACCTGAGAAGATCTGTGTTATTTGCTTTGTGTGATGTAACAGCTTAGACTGCATTTTAAAGCCGAGTGGTCAATCTTGCAAGTTGCATCTAGGTGTATTATATTATAGTTGTAACCTGCTGAGGAAAGCTGCCCCTGGGGAATAGTTTCACAGTTGTGGAAGGGGCATGGAGTCACCTCAAGGGTGGTAATGCCCAGAATGTTGTCTAGTGAGATTCCCAGCAATGCTGCCCCATGGCACAGTGGAATAAAGCCGCGAGAAGCACCGGGAAAGCGCAAACACTGTAAAACCTAGTGCTGGCACCTGGCAAACTGCCCAAGGGCTCTGCTCATGAGGCTGCCTGAAACCTTAATTCATGTATTTAACCACATCTGGCTCAGTGATTTCTGCCATTTATTACATGTCACTTAAATGTAGAAATGCTGGTGTTCTATAATTCTTGGATATACTCTATTTTGAGTTTTATGGATATATTTAAGGTAGTTAAAATGATTAAAAGCTTGAGTGTTCATCTGATGGCAAATGTTGCACTCCCCCAAAGTGCATAGTGC